CATACTTAATTAAAGATATATTATTAATATTATAAGCAATTCAAGTTTTTAAGTCTTCAAATTCTATATAATAGGACATAAAGTTTAAGATTGGAAGTGAAGTCAAAACGTCTTTAAAAAAAAAAAAAAAAAAAAAAAAAAAAAAACCTAAGTTTAACGTATTTTAGTCTTCTAAATTAGAATTTAAATTTAAAGTTAGTATTTCTTATCTTTGTGGCTTACTAATAGTAACATGCTAATAGGAAAAAGGGATGTAATTTCAATGTCATCATTATCTTCATAATTAATTTTGATAAGTATGATCTTTTAGAAATAGAATCTTAAAAAAGATTTTATATTAAGGTTTATTATTATAGGATTTAATTTAAAAATATGAGTTTCATCAAAGAAGACATCTTATTTGACTTGAATTTTATAAAGATTTGGAAGGTATATTCTATAGGCCTTTAATTTGTCTTCGAGACCAAGATTGATTCTAAATTTTAATTTAGATTTGTGAGACTAATTTTCATCTCTCAATCTAAATTAAAAAATGGCCTTAATTTAAAATTGCTTGTAATTGGTGGTGAGAAGTAAAGAAAGCAAATAATAAGAAAAAATAAGAAAATACATAAAATAAGTAAATAATTAAAATCAAACTATTATACAATCCAAAACTTCATCATAGTCTATACATTGAATTTTTATTCAATTAAAAGTAAAAATAAAAAATAAAAAATATATTTTTATAAGAATAATTTTTTCACCTTTTAAATAATATAAAAAATATATAAATCCAAACTACCATAAATAAGTTATGAAGGTTTTTAATTAATAAGTAAATAAATAAATAAATTAGATAAAAATATTTTACCTCAAAGATAATTTGATTGTAAATCAAAGATTCATATCTCACTAAGGCTCACATATAGTGTATTTGGATTGCAAAGAGAGGCCACAAGGCTTTAGTCTTATTTTCCTAACTATATTTAAGGTGCTATAATCCATATGAAATTTATGTGCCTCCTTTCCTACAAGGATTAAACTAGCTATTAGAACTCCTATTTTCTACTAGTAAAACTTATCTTTTTGTACTTTTGAATAAACCATAGTATCTAAAAACATCCAACTAGCCAATTTAACCTGAAATGGCCTTCAAATCTTGCTCCATTTCTGCATAATAGCTCCTAAAGTGGTAAAAACTCAATTTCATCAAAGTCTTCAAATTTTTTCTAAAAAATCCTTTAAAATTCTAAATAAGTTCTAAATAAATTCTTAATATTCTTATAATATATATATATTAAAAAAAATCCATATTTTTCTACCTTAGAAATTTTTTATAGTAATAAAATTGATTTAAATCAATTAAAAATCCTACTAATAATATAAATAACTAAAAAGACATGAGGTTCTTTTTTATGCTTCTTCTAACTACTAGCTAATATTTATAAGTTTTTAATATGTAATACACACACATATATATATATATATATATATATATATATAAGACCAATATAGACATTGATTTTAATTACTAAACTTTAATACTCAATAATAAGTAAAAATACTAAATCAATTAAGATAATTGCTTTTAAGACTTATTAAGATTCTATTTTCATAAAAAAAAATTAATAAGACTCTTGTATCCTATAAAAATTTCTAATTTTCGATAATTACGTAAATTATTAAAAAATATTTAATATTAATATTTTATACATATAAATAATTAAAATCTATATTTTTAATAATTCCACCAATTAAAATTTATTTGTGAAACTTATAAAATTCTAATTTGTAATGTTGCATAAAACCTTTTTTTATAAAATAAAATAATTCAAAAACATTTAGTGAATTCATATCTAATTTTGTTCCATAAAAGAAATACTAAAGAAATATATAATTATTTTTTCAAATATGACTACAATTGATGACTTGAATTGTTGTGTAAACTGCCTTAGTCTATAAAAATAGATGTACTTTGTCATTCATCAATATTGTTTGTACTTTTTTTAGAATAATTTAATTTTTTCTTTCTAATATTCTATTTTATTTTTATATTCAGCAGTAGTCAATTGACAAGTGATTATGTAATCTTATAGATATTTAGTGAAATCTTTTGACATGAATTCTCCTCCTTTATTAGAACAAAGCAACAAGATTTTGTTAGAAGTTAGTCCTTCAATCATAATATGAAATTTTTGGAACATGTCAAGAGTCTAATCTTTTAAGTTTATAAAATAAATTAAATTTTTTTTTAGAGAAATCATTAGTAAATAGTATGAAGTAATGAGAGCGTATTAGAAATTTGACTAGTAGAAGTCCACACACATTAGTATATATGAGTTGCAAAGTTTTATATTTCTATTGGATGATTGCTTAGAAATTTTGTCTCCACTCTATTTATTTAAATAACACTAGCTACATGTTTGAATTTTGACAAAGAAGCTAGGAAGTTTTGAAACTAGATTATAGATTTAAAGATATATAAGGTTCTTATAATTCAAATGCATTTATTGGCAGTATCAAAGGCAAGTGTGAAAATCAAGAGCTTTGATAGTAGTATTATAAGTCAAATAAATTCTAATTTGTAGAGTTTTTCTTTTTGTCTAAAGAGCTCTATTTTCTAATTTTAATAGTATAAGTATCAAAATTATATACAACTTTTTATTCTAATTTTTTTAATCTATTTTCAAAGTCATGTCTTTTCTTACAATCCTAAAATCTAGTTCTATGTGATTTTCTAGATAAGATGACAATATACTATTTGGAAAGAGAAATGTTAAAGTTTCCAACATCTATAATTTTTCCAATAGACAAAATGTTCTTTTTGAGACTAAAAACATATCAAACCTCTTTGAAGTTTTTTATTTCTCTAATAGAAATGGATAGATTTATTAAACGTTGTTATGCAATTACATGGATATTGCTTTTAGTAGAAGATAATTTCATTAACAAAGTAATCTATTCACTCAAAGACAAAATAGTCTTTAGTGAAGTGCTTTGAAGCACTTATGTCAATGATCTATTTATTGCCATCTTTGTCATTGAGTGCTAAGAATTCAAAGGCTTCTAGAATACCTTTATTACTTGAAAGTACAAATGCAATGGTCTTTTTGTAATTTTCTTCTATGATATTGATTCCATAGTGTTTGTGAACTATTAATATAGAAGAGAAGTTGTTCAAATTTCCAAAAATAGAATAAGTGCTGAATTTGGAATATCCTTGTTAAAAAATCATATTAGTATATGCTCAACAAATGTTTTAGATATGTTTCTTCTTAGTGCAACAAGAGATAATTGGATCTTATATAGGTCCTTGTTGATGATATCTTGGACTTGAAGACTATTTGTTCTACCTCAATTCCATCCTTAGTAATGTGATGGTCTACATTGTCATTTATTGTGATAGATATTGCAAATCCTCATGATAAAAGTTTCATTAATTTATGTCTAAGATTTTTTAAAAGCAGCATTGGTTTCTTCTATATATAATCAATTCTATAATTCTTCTAAAAATAATAAGATCTTTTTATTTTATAAATGTGTGACTAGTTTTTTTAAATGCTTTAGAAGATAATTGAAGATTTTATAAACTTTGACTACTAGAAGCTACATTAGATTTATAACTTTCAAATTCTAAATAATATTATGGACATGTTGTATTGAAGAAAAGACATCTTATTGTTTATTTATTTTAAAGTATTTTCATTTATTTAGTACTATTATAGTATCAAAAATGGTATTGATAAGAAACATGCTCTTGAGATGATTTGAAGCTACTTTAGGATCTCGGAAGTCTAAAAAAATATAGCATAAATCTGGTAAGAAGGATGGTTGTAGGAAGGCCTCTGTTTTCTTCTTCCATTTGCATTTGTCATTGACCACTTTTGATGTATCAGTGATGCCTTTTGCCTTTGCTTCCTTTCATTTGTTGTCATTGGTGTTTGTTTTAGGATTGTTCTTAGATTCAATAAGATCCTATAGATCTTTTTTATGAAAATAATTTATATTATCATTGCCTAGTGCTTGAAATTCTTGGATCTTATAAACATAGTTTCTTTGGAACATACACTCTTATCAGTACTCATCTTGTGCTATTTTGCACATGTATAGATGCAACATAAGATTTCAAAGAAAACAATGATGTGAGCATAGAAGAAAAAATTGAAGAAGAAAGAGTGTAGATGCTAATGCATTTATAAAAAATAAAATTAAAATTAAAATTAAAAAAACTTGATAGGAAAATAATGTTTGTAATAACAAGAGAGAAAAGAATCAAAACTTGATGGAAGAACAATACTCAATCAAGCTACACAAAATGCCTGCTCTGATACCATGTGGAAATAACAAGATAAACCAAACCAATGATAAAACAGTACTTGCATTATACAATACCGCTGTAAATACACATGTTATAAATACATTGGTTGAGATCATTAAGGTTAGGATCTCAACATGAGGATGATGTGGATATCCATCCATGTGGAACTTTATCCATAGATGGATGTGAAGTGACAGAGACCACATTAGTTGATGATTGAATTACACTTCTATATTGAATTCACATGTTGTAGGATCTGATTAAAACAAGTAGCTTTGCAGGCTGTTCGGCTTTGTTTCAGTTTGACACACTTTTTAAGCAGTCGTTGAGATCATTGCGCTATCGCACATATGAAAGCTCTTCCTTAGAGGGTCGAACTGGCATATTAGACATTGAGAGCTAATGGGTTCCGCTTTGCTTAATCATTGTTGCATTAAGATTGAACCAACGAAAGTGGCATTCCTATTCGCCACAAACAAGATGTCAAAACTTGACGAGTCGTCGTTGGGCTGGTTATAAAACAACCTGTGCCTCACCGTCGATTCGCTTTCATTGTCTGATTCAGTTTGTGGCCGGGTTTAGCTCTTGTAAGCTGTCCCTTACCCCGATTCACACTGTGACTGTAAGCGTTGCTATCAATCATCTAGTCCTCGTATCTCTTTTCAAGAACATCATTCAAATTCAAGTTTTGATGCAGATGTAGAACAAACGAAAACTTATCCAAAATTCAATAATTATTATCAAGGCGTCAGCACAAGCACGCCAAACTCCACATAACAGTCAAAATCATGAAATATGAGAACCCTTCATGTTATCAATCTGCCCGGATAAATCATACTGGATTAAGTAGCATTACACTAAATCCTAAAATCTGAATCAAATGCTCAAGAAGCACTCCATTGCTAACACATCTAGCCCAATCATTATTGCAAATTTTGAAACCGGCGAAGGATGAGGCTGCTGGTCTCCAGAAATCTTTGCGCGCAGTAGGTCAGACAAGAGGATTCACTGGAACTTAACTTGCTTCCAGGTGTTGATGTTATACATTTGTCCCAGCACACATCAGTCAACTTGCCTACAAGCTCATTGAGCACGGCTTTTTGCTTCTCTTGCTGCAAGAAAGCGGAAGTTGCTTTAGTGGGTGTTATTGTACGTTCATCAAGATACAACTTTAGGCCCCTGAGAACATCCTTACATGTCTGACAGCGTCCAGAATGCAGCGTCTAAGCAATATGATGTTAAAAGAGCTGAATACCTCGAGAAATTGCTGCAGTTCGGCAGAGTTAGCGGCGTCCATAGTGGCTTATATTCTGGATCAAACATGTTGAGAACAAAATCAGGCGGCAAGCAGCGGCAACGTACAACCAAGCCAGTCACTGGAATATCGTGCATTAACTGCTTGGTTTGATTCACAACTGAAAATCGGTTCCAATTCAGCCATTTGTTAAGTAGAATAAGCATGAATCATTTCCTGCCTTGGCCTTAAGACAAGTAGGGTCGCTGCTACAGCTTTAAACTCACTATGCTTGAAATTTAATAAAACTTTTGCATAGTAAAGCAAAGACATGCAAGTTTTCTACGATTGACCGGCCGCAACAACATCCCCTAGTCATCGAGTTCTTGGTGTAAGGCAATAACCAAATACCACTTCCAACGACACGATCTCAAACCGCTTCAGAACCTACGCTAGCAAAATTTCACATATACTGAAATCCACGCACTTGTCCACAAATGCCGCTTAAAAACATACGACAAGCATGTGAACGCAACAAGTACACAGCTGGAAAAGTATCGCAGGTTGAAGATCTCAAACACAAAGTAGATGATTCGGACATATTGACAGCGTTCCATCAATATCAATTTAACACGCTAGCCACACCATCTGCAGGGCATTACATGAGGTCCCTCACAATCACCTAACATGTCTTGATAGGTACAATTAGGGTTCGTCACAGCAACCTTGATAGAGCACCAAATGATTGCAATACTATCGCAAATTGAAGAGAAATACTCACGTCGAAGAAACAATAGCAACCACGGCCAGAAGATCCGCTTCTGTGAGGGCTCCCCGGCAGCGGTGACCGAGCTTCTGCGTCCTGGACGAGCATTGAAATGTTGCGTAAGCGAGCCTCGTCACTAAGGGCTCACCAGAATCCTGGATCCGCCCACGGCTCCCGGCGAGCCCCGTCGGGAACCATTGCTGTTAGGGCAGGCGTAGTGGGGTCGGGCAGCCGTTTTTTCCCATTATTATCGCTGCCGTGGGATTCGGCACGGCCCCAGCGTCGTCGATCAGACCTCGTCCTCGTCGCTTAGCAGTCTTTGGTCGTAGTTGGATCCCCACTGCCTGCATCTCCACCTTCTTCCAATTCGCCCTTGGTGGTGAAACCTCGGCAGAGTTTTCCGGTGCGTGCGAGAGAAGCTCAATTGCGTGGCTTTCTGCCCAGTGCATGCTGCGTTTCTTTTAGCAACTGTGTAGGATTTTTCGTTTCCTTTGATACAGGACTGTTTTAGGAGAGACTCGCGATTCGGAGTGCAGTCTCTTAGCTGAATTGTAACATTTTTAGTCCAATGAAGAAGATAAAAGCTGTTCTGCATCAAGGAATTATTTCTGATAAATCTGAGCTACTTGTTTCTTATTGCTCTATGATATTTCCTGGATCGCAGAACAACTGCAGATGAATAGGAGACTTTGGTGCCAGACGGTTGTCAATATGGCCCTCTGTTACATGCCACGCGTTGGCGAGGCGCACATTTTGCTAAGGTAAGCTCTTGTTTAGACGACTAAATTTTGTTGCTTTTGCTAAATGTTTGCTCGTCTTCGATACCCAATAGGTTTACTGTATTCAAGTTTGAGAAGTCAATGGGGGTTGGGAGGAAAGATATGAGTCGTGAAACTGTCCAGAACAGGCATTCTCCCACTCCGGTAACCCATCACTCTTCCGCCGACTCGCATTACACGATCCAGAAGCAATCGACCACAGCAAGTTCCCTCGAACTATCACTAAGATCCCCCTAAGCCCTTCACTGCCCAAGTTTCTTTAGGACACATCCGGTTACCGTGTTTCTGACTACATTTCTAGGCTTACCAGCAAGCCGCACTAAGTCCAAAGCAAACACGAATCGCCATAATTCTTTGAAGTAAACATCAAACATGTTATTGCATGGATGGAGGCATCAGGGTTCAGATTCACAGTGAATCATCAAAGAACTTGATTCTCAACCGTTATGGCAACCATAGTCGAATTTAGGGCTTTTGACAGCAAATGCTCATTACATCAGGCTCATGGTTGACTCCTATTTCAATGGCCAGGCTTGTTTCTAACAAACCTTCTGAGTAACCAAACCCGGGAGTATGTCTGCTTTCATCATTTATCAGTACCTCTTCATCATAAGTGTTAAGTATACATGCCAACACATAAATCCTAACAAAATCCTACAAAGTTCTATGTTCCTGCAAATTTTCCCACCTCCCAACCAGCAGAGACCAAGTTACATCTTCTCCTTTCACCGTCAACTCAAGAACTTTACTTTTGTATATGAATATGAAGCAATAATTAATATTTTTGAATGTATAGGTAATTTTATGACAATTAAAAATAAAAGATTGACATCCTAATTCTGTCAAATCTCAACATATTACCCACGTTAATTTTCCAAAAAAATACTATTGTAACAGTGAAAACGAATATAAAAAATAACAAGATGTGATAGATTTAACTCACTATTAACTTTGTGATTTGGTTTTTTCAAACAATAAATTATACCAATTAAACAGAATTAGACAAAATATTTCTATTAGATGTTATTTCTTTTGTTTGTCAGTTATTCTTTATCTAATATGTGTAGATTTGGATTACTAGAACATGATTATAATTTTAGTGATTTCATTATGATTGGTTAATGTATATATGTATATCTAAACATACATATATACCAACTTAGAGTCACATTCATCTATACAAATATATATATATATATATAGATTTGTATATATAGATCTATACAAATATATATATAGAATGGATGGATCAATTTAGTAAACTCATGGTTCTATTTAATATTTTCTTATCGTTATTTAAATAAGTAGAAATAAAAATAGATGAAATTATTGATATCTTGTCAGCAAGCTTTTTAAAAGTTGTTTAGTTGCAAAATTGACTTTATAAGTATTTGTAAGTAATTAATAGATTAAAAACTTAGCCAACAAGTTGGTCACATGATGCACATATTGGTCTCTTATGTTACAAGTTAGCCATATGGCATATATGTTGAAAATTTATTTTCCAAATTAAACATGTAATTTATAAATTTGACATGTGTCATGTGATAAATAGAACATTTTTATATAGCTTCTTACTTAGATGGTATATATGTAGGCAAGAGTGATGTTTTATGCACTCTTATCAATGCCTTTCTTATGTTCTAGTCTGAATTCAATTTTTCTAATCTTGTTATATTTGTCAACAACCATTTTAGTTTTAATTTTATATCTATCTTTGATTTGTCTTTTTTTTCTTCTTATGGCAACCCAAAACCATATTGTTTCTTTAGAACTTTGTCATGATTTATATCTCTAACTTTAAATTATATTTAAATAGATTGATATCTTACTAACTATGTTTTTATTAATTCTATAGTATTAAAACAATAGTAAATTAATTAATAATATTAATATTATTTGAATTTTTATCCTTGATAATAAGTATATATTTCATATAATGTAGGCCCACCTGAATGATTACAAATTTAATTGTATTTATGTAAATATATATATATATATATATAGTTTTTTTACTTCAATACATTATTATTAAAGACATGGAACCCTAAATGTTTTTGCCCACCAGATAGGGCTCTTGGTATTGACCATAGATAAAATATCTCTTTTTTGATTTTTCATTTATTGAGACAATCAATTGAGGTAAGAATTGGCTATTATTTTATTCAATTTCTTATATAAATGGATGCATAAAAATAATACAATGTTGATCACATAAGAGAATTCCTATACACACTATCTACAATGAATAAAACATACATAGATACCGATGTACACCAAACAAAGCATGTTGTGCAACTTATAAAACACAAAATCAACATGGCCTCACAAGAACAAAAACAAAAAACAATCTTGGTTTTCAATTAAGACTAAACATAAGAGACAAAAAATAAATACTACGTACAAACCTAAATTAAAAATACTGAAATTGTTGCTCAAATGCTGAAATGATTATGTCATAACTAGTAATGGGAGCAACAATCTAAATAATCGCAAGAATATTAGTCTCCATGAATTCCAATAAATATAAATCCATTCCAGGTGTTCCACGCCAGTCCACGTACCTTCAAATTCTTCTCTCATTCAAACAACATCAGGACCTTGAAAACTACAAATATAGCGAGTAAATGAATCTTAACCAGTGCACAACAACATAACACCAAACAAGCGGGCTCGAATAGGGCTCATGGCCGTGCAAGCTTGGGGTGCACTGCAGTGCAGCTAGTTCAAACAGCCATCACCTTGGAAAACCCTAATTGCAGCGAGCCCTCCGTGGCAAGGCTCGCCCATGTCGAAACCCTATATATGGTGCCCCGCACTGACTGAATCCCACGCCTCAGAACGTTCTGATTGCAGGGTGTGTGTCCTGCGCTCGAAGGCCTCTACGCAGTTTGTGTGGCGACGTTCGCCAGGACGTGACTTTAAGGTTTTTATTTATTTATTTATTTATTTATTTTTTTCCGTGGGCGTGTATTTGGGGGCAGGTGGTGGTTCGCATTGTAGGGTGTGTCTTGTTTGGCGTGTTTTGTTTGTGGGTTTGATTGCACTGCGAGGGTCACCGTGGCACGATGTCATATTCGAGGGCGTCTCGATGGTGGGACGGTCGGGCGGATTTCGTGCGCAGAGGAACCGTCATGTCATGATTCTTCATGGCGTGGCAGCGGCCAGACAACCGTAGAACTCCTTCCACGGTGCTTGTGCTGATTAATGCGCTTGCCCTACTATTCAAGAGTTTACAGTTAATTTTCACGTGTGGGTGACATGTTGCTACATTTGTACTCAAGGTGCGCGCTCGGTCTATGAGCGCGACTCCTTAGCCTTCGCGGCTGTAGCTAGAGGAATCGGAGCTACAAGGATGAGTGTTCGGATGATGGGCATATCGCTTACCGAGTTCCGGATAGCGTTTTATTTTAGGTTGGAACGATGTCGGTTCGGATGTGAAGATGAAGAGTAGAGGCTGAGGCTTTGATCCTCTTCCTCGTTAGTTAATCTTCGCATACGGATGGGCTTCCAGGGCTAGCGCGCTGGGGGCGTGCCCCTGCTTGTGACAGGCCGGGCGGGCTTTTTCGGAGCGTGCGAGTCTTGGTTTGTGTCAAGGGGGGGCCACATCGTCAGTCGGGGAGTTTTGCGTGGAGTCAATTATTGTAGGTCGCGCAATGACGATAACGCCGTGAGGCATTTGTGAGGTGCTCGAAAGAGTACCATGGGCAAATAATCTAAACGACTTCTTCTTCCACTGAGCGCCGTCATAGCGATTTCGGGACCGATGATGACAGTCACATGAGCTCCATCTTAACTTCTCGGAGGAAGTAATGATGTTTTCATGACACAGGATTTCTGAGGTCTTGCACACTGGCACTGAATCGATACGGGCATGTGGTGAGCCGAGATGGCAGCCGAGAATGTGAGCTTCTGGATGATGACCGAACACGTGCTCGACACCCTAGGTGTATGACGCTGCTAAAATACTCTAATTTTTTGCTGACAGAAGCCCATCATATTGCCACGAGACTCACTTGATCACTCGGAGTTCCGGGGGATGGCAAACATAACCAAACCCCGATGAAAGTAGAACCCAGAGCTGCGTACATGATACGTGGCGAAACACAGGAGTTGCAAACCAAAATTGAAAGGATCCGTCAAACGGAATCTCCGAATGCAACCGGAAGGAACGAGGGTGATGGGGGATGAAACGAACGCTACCAAGCATTTAAATGAATGGAACTATTAGCTGACCTGAATACAACTGTGCGGTTTAATTAGCTTCCCGAATGAAAGAGGACATGCAGTACCCACCGGAAGCTGCGAGTCATGAGGATGGAATAATTGAAATCTTAAACTCTATTTCGAGTGTGTTTACCGTTTTCGCCAGTTTAGGTGTGCCTCTGAAGTGCATGCATGCGTAGCGTAGGCGCATGATTAATATC